AAGAGGGCGGGTTGCCTTTGGACGACAGGGTAAGGGGGCTCCAGGGGAGGGGAGCAGGGCATGGAGGAGATTTTCGGGGAGGAAGGGGAGTCGGCCTCCCCTGCGCTCTGCGAGGAGCTGGTTTCGGGGCTGGCTGCAGGGCTCTATGGAGAGCTGGAGCGGCTAGTGGGGGCCTACGGGCGGGGGGCAGTGGCCGGGCTGCTGCCCCAGCTGGTCTCAGTGCTGGAGGCTCTGGAGCGAGCCGGGGGACATATCCGGGAGCGGGATGAGGCGCTGGAGCTGCTGCGGGACGACCGGCTCGGGCTCCTGGGCCAGTACGAGCGGGAGCGGGCCGGGCGCAAGAGAGCTGAGGAGGTGAGGTCCCCTCTGATCCGGACCCGCAGCGCCCCAGATCATCCCCTGCGCGGCGCCCCTCGATCCCGACCCGCAGCCTCCCACCCAGTCCCCTGCCCGGTGCCCCTCAATCCCGATCCGCAGCCCCCCTGCGCGGCACCCCTCGATCCCGACCCGCAGCCCCCCACCCCGTCCCCTACCCGGTGCCCCCAATCCTGACCCACAGTCCACCGTGTGGTGCCCCCGATCCCAACTCGCAGCCCCCCACCCTGTCCCCCGCATGGTGCCCCTCAATCTTAACCCGCAGCCCCCCAGCACGGTGCCCCCTGATCCGGACCCGCAGCCCCCTGTGCCTGGGATGGGGGCCTGGTGCCCGGACTCCTGGGTTCGCTGCTAGTGGCCTGTTCTCCGCAGCGCTACATGGAGCTGGAGGACGCGGTGGAGCAGGAGCGCAAGGGGCACAAGGCGGCGCTGAGCCGGCTGGACGGGCAGAGCCGGCGGCTGGAGGAGAAGGCCCGGAGCTACGCGGACCAATGTGAGCGCCAGAGAGCGGGCGGGAGGTGCTGGGGGGTGGGCTGGGGTCAGGGAAGGAAGAGAGGGTGGTGAGGGAGGCAGGGGGGACAGTGCCAGGGCTGGGGGGCATCCAAGGGGTAAACAGTGGGGGGAGTCTGGGGGGAGGAGAAACAAGGCTCCCCCCTCTGGTGTCCCAGCATAGTTAGGGCCCTACCAAATTCATGGTCCATTTTGGTCAATTTCACGGTCATAGGATTTTAAAAATCGTAAATTTCATGAGTTCAGCTGTTTAAATCTGAAATGTCACCCTGGTGTAATGGTAGGGGGTAGTGGGGGGAGTTGCAAGGTGATTGTAGGGGGGTCGCGGTACTGACACCCTGACTTCTGCTCTGCTGCTGGCGGAGCGCAGCCTTCAGAGCTGGGTGCCCGGCCAACAACCACGGCTCCCCGGCCACTAGCCGCTGCCCCCGGCCGCCCAGCTCTGAAGGCAGCGCAGAAGTGAGGGTGGCAATACCGCAACCCCCTACAATAACCTTGTGACCTCCCCCGCAACTCCCTTTTGGGTCAGGGCCCCCAATCTGAGAAACGCTGGTCTCCCCCTGAAATCTGTATAGTACAGGGTAAAAGCACACAAAAGACCAGATTTCACAGTGCGGAGAGCAGATTTCAAGATCCGTGACGGGTTTTTCATGGGTGTGAACTTGGTAGGGCCCTAAGCATCGACCCGGAGACCCTACAATAACAAAGCAGCCTCAGTAACTGAGACCAGATGAGATCAAACAGCAGCAGCTTGGGCCCTGCCCGTGCCCCTGGCATAGCCCTGGCCTGGCCCAGGCATCTCCCCGACGGGTTTTTCCGGCTCCCCCAGACCGGGGTGGTGGGTGGGTGCTGGTTGTGTCGGGGGGTGCGGGGGTTCAGAGCCAAGGGGCGCAGGGTGAGGCCCCGTCCCGGTGTGAGGCCCCACCCCCTTACTTTGAGAGGGTTGGTGGTAGCATGGGGGCCGGCTGGGGGAGGGGCAGCAATGGGGTCTGGCTCCCTGCAGACTCGGGATGGGGGGGTCACTCGCTTCTCTCCCCACACCCCCGGCAGTGGCCAGCCTGGAGGACCAGAAAGTCGCCTTGCTCAAGGAGCTGTCAGCCCTGGCCCAGACCCACGGCAAGGTGAGACCCCCCCCCGTGGCCCCCGCAGCCACCCCCTGCTGGCCCCAACACCACAATCCCCACAGCGGCCCCGTGCTGGCCCCGTCCCCCATGACCCCTACTGGCCCTACGCCCCATGGCCCACCCTTGGCAGCCCCCCCAGCTGCCTCATGCTAGCCCTGCCCCCCATGGACCCCCACTGCCCCCCCCCACAGCTTCCCCACACCTGCCCCTGCTGGCCCTTCCAGCCGCCCCCTTCACTGCCCCTCCTGGTGCCCCCTTGTGGCTGGATGTCGCCCTGCGGGACTGGGTCACGTTAGGGTCTCTGTGGGGGGGCCGAGCGTGTTGTCCACGAGGGGCACTAGCCCCCCCCACCTTGTCGTTGGCAGATGGTTCAAAGCTACAAGGAGCTGAAGGCCCTGACGGTGCCGCCCCCTGCCCCCCCGGGCCCCCGGCCTAGCAGGTATTAGCCACAGGGGGCGGCAAAGGAGCTGGGGTGGCACCGTGCTGTGAGGGGGGGCTCGGCAGGGGGTCACGGAGAGCCGGGAGGGGTCGGGGGGGAGTGCACTGCCGGGGAGAGCGGGGGACGTCATGTGATGGGGAGGGGACTTGGGGGGGGCACTGGGAAGCTGGGGAGGCTCGGCGGGGGGTGCCAAGGTGTGTGGGGAGCTCAGGAGGGCACCAGGGAGGGGGGGCAGCTTGACCCACAGGGAGGGGGCTCGGGCAGGGAGTGGGGAGGCACCATGGCGAATGTCTGACCTTTGACTTCTCCCCCCCAGCGCTGTGTCAGCCCCCCACCGGCCTCCCCTGTTTCTCCCCAGCACCTCAGACCCCGGCTGCCCCGAGCCCCCCAAGGTGGGTCCCCCCACTTGTGCAGTGAGTTTGCTGAGGGCGAGATGGGCCGCTGGGCTGACCCCTCTACCCCCCGAGGGGGTGTCTATGGGGCAGGGGGGAGCTCGGAGGAGTTCAGAGAAGGGGGCTATGGGGGAGATTCCCCTGGGGGGTACATTTGCGGGGGGGGAGGAGGGGTTGCCCTGGATTAGGGGGTTCCCCTGGGGAGTACATTGGCAGAGGGGGGAGGGGCTCCCTCGTTCATGGAGGGCTGGTGGCTTGGCACCTTTCACCGACTGGGGTGACCTGACTCCA